ACAATAAAATTGAATTCCCTCACCCATTAGCTGGCAATTTGCAGCTGTTTTGTCACCCCTGTGACGCAAATCTTCTGAGTCCGCAGACATTCTATCTCAGCATGACTGATTTACCTAATTTTTCTCGCTAGTCATAAAATCACCGTGGTCTGTTAAAATGCTGCTATCCTTCCTCTTTTCTGACTGCACAGAACAGAAACAGGACTCGAAAGGCACATGTATCTTATAGACTGACATGGGCTGGATAGAGTAGACATTGGTGTAATACACTGGTGCTCTTATATGGCAGTGATGTGAGCCTAGGGCTTGCCGATCAGAAGGTCAGCGGTTTGAATCCTCGCAACGGGGTAACTTCCGTTGCTTGGTCCCTGCTCCTTCCAACCTAGCAGTTCAAAAGCATGTCAAACTGCAAGTAGATAAATAGGTACCGCTCTGGCGGCAAGGTAAATGGCATTTCTGGTTTGCCAGAAGCGGCTTAGTCATGCTGGCCACATGACCCAGAAGCTGTCTGCAGACAAACATCGGCTCCCTCGGCCAGTAAAGCGAGATGAGTGCCACAACCCTAGAGTTGTCTGCGACTGGACTTAACGATCAGGGGTCCCTTTACCTTTTATAGGGCCGAAAAGCAGTCTAGAAATGCTCTTACAAATGCATTTAAAAATTAATACTACAACTATCTTTGCTCTGTTATGGATAATTTGCTAGCTAGGGAAGAGAATGTCAGCCATAAAGTCAGCAGTATTGTATGTAAGTGCACCTGATAATTATGTTTCAGGAAGAAAAAAGTTTCTAAAAATTCTTCAGATGTCTGACACTTAGTTTATTTGTTTTGTTTGCTTGGTGAGTGCTGAAACAGTTTTATGGACTGTCACCATGAAGAGAATATTTACATAGTTTTTCATCATACCCAACAGCTAGTAATTGGGTTTTTATCATCTGTGCTTTCTGTCAAATTGAATTATAGCATATCATGTTCTTTGTAAGAAACTACAGCATTGTCATGTTAACAAATTGCCATCACAGTATTACCTCAAAGTAGTGCACTTACTTTCTTGTAGTTGTTGACAGAAGTGTAAAATAAACCAAGTTCTACAGGTGACACTTCAGATTCCCCCACCCCAGTAACAAAACACATGAAAAGCAACAAAGAGAAGTTGAGCAATGTTTGTTTGTTTATTAGATACACATACTGTATTCCCTTCACCAAATATTCACCAGTAACAATGTTCCAAACATAGGCAAGGTTTAGTCAATGGTATTTTTGTGCTGCACTGAAAGCTCCTGGAAACAAAATGCTAGCTGGCCTGTGACTTAGCAATTGGGAGAAGCTCTAGAGTTTTGAGCTCCTTCCTCTCAGCCATCTCCCCAAGCCTTTCGCCTGCCTCCCAATATCAGTGGGTCATATTATGTCTGCACTGGCAGCAACCATGATTAATGCAACCAAGGGGCACTGCTTATGTAGGCTTTGTAAATCGCTTCCAACCAGGATTTCAAATTCTAGTGTATGAATAACATGGTTATCATGGTTGCAAACCCCAGTGACAAAGCTGGGTTGAAGGGGGTCGTTGTGTAAAAGGGATTAATGTTTGAGAAAGGGTTTGTGAGGAAGGCTCACAGTCTTGTCGTCATATCTTAATTCTTTAGTCGTGGCCAAGAACTGGCTAGTATTCCATCTTCACTCATGTCAAGTCCTGCATTGTGGAAATTAATATCCCTTGCAGGTTCTTCAGCTCACATATTTTACTTATTAGGTCACAATCCATGATGTCCTCAAATAGCTAGATGCTGTTTTTTCTCATTTCCTCACTTTACTTTCCACTTTTTATATTTCAATAGTTACACTCCTTTGTCCTGCATTACCTTTGTTTCTCCCTACTGGGGAGGTTGTGGTTTTATGAATAGTGCTAGACAATAATTTCAGCTTCATTTATAAATTATGGTTTGATAAATTATCAGGAGAACCTCTGCGGATAGCTGAAGACCTAAGATTGCCTCCCCTTCTTAAATCTCCTCCCCTTCCTAAATGTAAAAGTAGGAATATTGTAGAGGGGAAGGACTGAGCCATTTGACTCTCAGCCTCTGAGAGAAGTCATCAAACACAATAAAGTAGGTAGCATGGTGACTCAGTATTTGCTTGCTTAAATCACTTGCTGTGTAATTAATTCTGGTAAAACGTGTTCATTGAATGGTGATTTTGCAGGTTTTCGTGAGCAAGGGTGGTTATTACAATTGTGCATTGCTGATTTATGAAAGTGCAGGAAATCTCTTAAGAAATTCTGCTTTCCTGGAGGATGAGGATCAAAAAGGGGGGGGGATGAGTTTCTAGGGATTGCAGAGAGACTAATAATAATAATAATAATAATAATAATAATAATTTACACCCGTCCATCTGACTAGGTTTCCCCAGCCACTCTGGGCGGCTTCCAATAGGAGATTTAAAACACATTAAAACAAAGCAAACTTTGCAGGAAGCAGCAGTAGTGCATGGGGGAGAGTACTCACTGGAATGATGAGGTCAGGGAATCTTTGGATTGATGGCAGCAGCCCAGAGCTATAGCATGTTCAAGAGGTGGCTGTGTGGCCTCTGCCCGAAGACCCGCAGCAGAGGAGAGGCCACCCACTCGAACTGATTCTGAAACTTGACCAGCTGTAATATCCAACCCTGAGTCGCTTCCTGTTATTTATTGCCGCTTGTGAATTTTGCCTTGGCAGATATTAATGGCTGTTTGGCATTTAGATAATTCTCTCTCAGTTTTATTCCCCCTCTCACTGTCAATTGACACTTTTTCATTTCAGCACAGGTTTATTTGCTTTTGTTATTTGCCCATCACCACAGGAGTACCATTTCCATACCCAGTCTTGCAAAATCACTCTCCCATGTTTACTGCTGATGGCATGGAGAATAATTGCTTTTAATGTTTGCGCTCCCAGTGTTCCCATTTTCCTTCCTCCTCACCTCTAAATTACATCTGTGGTACATTCAAGCTTAATGGATATAATGGTAAAATAGTTCAGTTTTACTCAAATTGTATATTTTTTGTCCTGCCTGAACATATATCTATACTTAAAAAAAGAATGTCACCTTAAACAGAAATAACTCTTTATTTGAGTTCTGATTTTTCTTTTTCTTTAATGCTGCTGCCTTTGTCCAGTTCCATGATAATAATATAATAATTTATTATTTATACCCCACCCATCTGGCTGGGTTTCTCCAGCCACTCTGAAAGGCCATTGATCAAAATGATTATTTTAAATCCTCCTTAAAGTTACCATGAAGCTGTAAAATAATATTTTGCAAAGTTTGGGTCAGGGGTGGGAAACCATCCAAGCCCCTCTACTGGACTTGCCCCAGCCCATGTTTTCCCTATCCCAGAGCATACTCCTCACCCTCCCTGCTCCACACGCGTCCCAAAGTGTGGAACTGTGTCCTTGGACTGAGATCGTGTCTCTTTGTTGGCATAGAAGAAGGATAAACAGATGAGAGCAGGGTGGGTATTCATCAAAACCTCTTGCTTTTGCATGGCTGGAACACAGCCTGTTGTACAAAGTCTCTTCTATGGGTTTGCCCACTTTTGCCTCTAACCCTGCCTGCTTCTGCCTTGTCACCCTTGAAAGATTGCCCACAAAGGAATATGGCCCTTGGTTCTTTGAGCTTTGCTTTAGCTGATTAATTGGTTAGCTCAAAATGTTATTATCATCTAAAATGCTGTCTTAGTCAATCGGTATGAATGAAATAGTGCTAATATATATATTATGAAGAAGAGAGAGAGAGAGAGGAGTTGACAAAGAGGTTGCTTTTTAAAAAAGAACCCTCTGCTTACAATGAATGTATAAGGTAAAAGGTAAAGGACCCCATGATGGTTACATCCAGTTAAAGGTCATTATGGGTTGTGGCGCTCATCTCACTTCTCAGGCTGAGGGAACCGGCATTTGTCCACCGACAGCTTTCCGGGTCATGACTAAACTGCTTCTGGCACAATGGAACATTGTGACAGAAACCAGAGCACATGGAAACACCATTTACCTTCCTGCCATAGCAGTACCTATTTATCTACTTGCACTGGTGTGCTTTCGAACTGGTAGGTTGGCAGGAGCTGGGACAGAGCAATGGGAGCTCACTCCTTTGCGGGGATTTGAACCACCAACCTTCATTTGCATGCACCTTGTGTTCACATTGAAAGGAATGTTACACTTGAGATGCTATTTTTCTCTTTTCATGCAGCATATCATTGGACTAAAGGGGTATATCTCCTAATGTTTCTCTTTTATTGAAACTAAATCCAGCTGTCAGTTCTGAATAATTATACTCTTCTTTTTGTGGTTTGTATTGAAAACGTTTAGTAAAACCCAATATTTCAGCCTTAGGTTCTGCTCCTTAAGTTTCCAAGTTAGAATTCACAAACTGGGTTTTTGCCCTCTGATGAGGGGTTAGGGGAGGGGCGAATCGAGAGAAGCATTAACATTGATGATAAAATGGCTACTTAATCATTCACAGTAATCATGGAACATACAGTAGTCTCTCTAGTGTTCATTATCCATAACAATGAGTGATGTCTACTTACTCATATAATTACAGGTGTCTCATCTGACATCCCCATAAACTGAGAAGGTTAAAAAAGGGGAAAAGATCTTTATTCCAGGCAATTGGAAATCTATTGTGGAGTTGAGGAACCAACACATCCAAACGTTTTAACCCTTCACTATTGTTTATTGAAGGATTATATAACAATTCATGCAGTTTTGAACAAGTTGTTTTGTAGGGGATGAATAATTTGTAGGGGTTATTGAAGGTGCAGGTGGTGTCAGAAAGTTTTTCTGATTGTAATGGACATGACTAATTTAGGTCAATTAGTTTCAATGGGTCTATGCTAAGTATACCTTGGTTGCATACATCCCAGAACTTTTACTTAACCTTCTGTATACTCGATAACAAACTTAAGAAATTAGCAGCAGAGGAGAATAGTTTAAAAGCTATCATAAACTAAATGAACTGGTGGAATGGAGGTTTACAAGCAACATTGATATATTTTTGTCAGATTAGGTATGATTTAGAGCTTGCAATTATATAGGCTAGGAATACGATCATAATCTTCATTGTCTGTAAGAATGCTTTGGACTATCATGCCAAGTTGAAGAGAATGTTTTCCAATAACTGTAACGTATCTCCATTTCTTATATTACGAGAGGAGAAATGACTTTATATAGTTCATATGTGTGCATGAAGGCTATAACCATCTGCTGAAATTATGAACGGTGTGTTGGATAGGTCTGAAGGTCAGATGTGAGTCAGTGGTAGTGGTATATTTCAGGGAGACTTCAAAGTTTATCCAACCATGTTGAAAAGCCACAGTGAGTGCACAGCCTTCATATGAAGTAGGTCAATTCATTTCCCCCTCTAATGTCCTTTGGTGGCAGTCGTGATGGGGAATTAGTAGACGTGAAGCTGAGCGTCTTAATTTTAGCTGAGACTTCAATGCTGTTTAAAAGAAAAATATGTATGTTGGCAATCTTCCTTAGAAAATTATTACTTTGGGAGAGGAGTAGAGAAAAGCATAAGAAATCAGCTGCTCAGAAAAGAAGAGTTGGTATAGAAGCTCCGGGGAGGGGATTTTAAAAAAGCAAATGCTGAAATTTTATGTACTCGATAATAGTAACAGCTTCCTGTGTCTCAGTTATTGGTTCTGTTCAAATGTAAGAGGGAAGCATGTTTCTCTAGTACAGTAACATGCTGTGTTCAATGGTTATTGAATACAGTGGTACCTCGGGTTACATACACTTCAGGTTACATACACTTCAGGTTACAGACTCCGCTAACCCAGAAATAGTGCTTCAGGTTAAGAACTTTGCTTCAGGATGAGAACAGAAATCGTGCTCTGGCGGCGCGGCAGCAGCAGGAGGCCCCATTAGCTAAAGTGGTGCTTCAGGTTAAGAACAGTTTCAGGTTAAGAACGGACCTCCAGAACGAATTAAGTACTTAACCCGAGGTACCACTGTATGTAACTCTGCGCTCTCCCCAGCCATGATATTGAGATATGTTAACACAGAGACACAACCTACCACACCCAGGCCTGATTTACATCCACCCCCAAAACCAAGTATTTCAGTTATCAGGCCCAAGTAATATTATTCCTGTTGCCTCACTCCTTTCTTCCGCTTTATGAGTTGTTTCTCACCAACTTCTATTCAGAGTAGACACACTGAAAGTAATGGTCCAGTATTAATGGTCATTTCCATTAATTTCACTAGGTCAGCTCTGAACATGACTTGTTTTCCATGACTTGTTTTCAAAATAATACATTTTTCTCATCTACAACTTCTCCTTAGTGTTCAGGAACATTTAAATGGTATAGGCATATCTTTGTGTAAAAATTACCCCCTAGGTGGTGTACCCTATCACATTCCCACTATATCTGGGGCCTGCTGGGGGCCAATCAGAACTAACTGCAGGACTATGGAGCTCTAGCTAGTGCTTATATTAGGGGTTCCATTGACTGCTTAGTGCCTGCTCTGATTTGGTACTTTTATTCCTTGGGCAACTCCATTGGCCAGCTATTTTCTTTGGCTGCCATCCACTACATCACTTACTACTCTGCTGTCCTCTTGTGATCCGGCCTCCCCCAACCTGGTGGTCTCCAGATGTTGTTGGACTACAAGTTCAAAATCTCAGATAATTGGTTATGCTTGCTGGGGCTTGTGGGAACTGTAGTCCAACAACATCTAAATGGCACCAGTTGAAGAATATCCGGTTACCCCTCAGTCTACGCAGGATTTGCTTCTCCTGCCAGTAAGATAAATATTTTAAGACATTGTTTAGATACAGTGGTGATGCTGTAATGGGTGACTTTAAGTTTAAGGTTTCTAGTGCTATATTTATATATAGTTTAAGGTGCTGGTTTTAACCTTTAAAGCCCTATATGGCCTAGGACCCTCGCACCTATGGGACCACCTCTCCTGGTATGTCCCATGGAGGATCTTACAGTCTTCAAATAAAAACATCTTGGAGATCCCGGGCCACAGGGAGGTTAGGCTGGCCTCGACCAGAGCCAGGGCTTCTGGCCGTGGCCCCAATCTGGTGGAACGCTCTGTCACAAGAGACAAGGGCCCTGCGGGACTTGACATCTTTCCCCAGGGCCTGCAAGACAGAGCTGTTCCACCAGGCCTTTGGCCGAGGCACAGTCTGACCCCCCTCTCCTTCTGTAATCCTCATAGAACTCTAGCCCAATAGTTGCCATTAATTTGATTATGAATTGATTTTATAATGTATTTCAATTAATTGACTGTGACTTTATGTAAACTGTGCTATTTTTACTGTTGTTAGCCACTCTGAGCCCAGCTTTGGCTGGGGAGGGTGGGATATAAATAAAATTTTATTATTTTATTATTATTATTTAATCTGTCGTTATAAATCTTGTTTCCTCATAGGATTATTTTCCCCATGAAATGATTTTTAAAATGAAACAATATTTTAATTATTAGGTTCAGCTGTTCAAATTGCTTGTACATTTCCTTTTCATTTGCTCCAGCCACAGGCTGTCAATTAGCTTTCACCTCCTACTTGGAACTTCCAAATTTTAGATTGCTTTATCCACTAATTATAATCTAGGTAGGTAGATCTCAGTCCAAATTTGGAGAGAGAATGGATGCTTCATGTTCTGAAATAGATACATCAGCTATAAAATGGATATTAATAACTGTGATCTTTTCACTGCAATAGCAAAACCTACAGCATGTAGTTTTATTTATTCATAATGAAATAAATATAGCACTAGAAACAGCTGCTCATTAAACAATTATTGCTTTGAAACTTTGACATGAATTAATTTTATACTTTAAATGTCCTGCAACTTTTTTTTTCTAATTGGAAAGCTGGAAAATGTATTTCACTGACGTTATTGAAGCTCTTACAGCAGAAATTAAAACAAACACTTTAATTCTGATTCTGGGCATCAGCTGTTCAAGAGTATTGATGTGATTACACATCACTTCTTCATACATTTCTACAGGAGCTTTGCTAACCAAACTCTAAGGAACGTGTGGCTGGTGTTTTGCAGAAGTCCATATTTCTCCCTGGCATTATATGCAACCATAATTTTTTAAAATGTTTTGTTATTGGCTAGGAGAAAAACTGCTCACCCGTTAACTCCTAATTCTGGATATTTTAAACTCATACTTAGCATGTGGGCATGTGAAGGTAAATTAAGATACTGGGCTGGTTTTCGCATTGCACTGCTACGCCATGGCCAGCAATAAACCATGGCTTACCGTGAATGAGTCGTGTACTAGTATACTCATTTCTCCCATTTGGATACAGGAGAAGCAAATCACAAGGCTTGGTTTAGCCATGGTTTGTTTGGAGAGAAACATACCACAGGGCTGGTTTGCAAGCTGGAGTGAAGCAGTAGGACACTGCTATTCACAATAAGTCATTAACCATGGTTGTGATTCGTTTACACATTCAAGGTTTGAGTTAGTGTTTGCAGTGACTTGAAAAAGAGAACCACTCAGTTTGACCACACAGTTACTCTCTTCAACACCTTCCTTATAACGCAGAATACAACATCTTGTAAAAAAATAATAATGTGTTGCGTTCTATGGGTATAGTTCTCACTCCCATAGAGAATCACAGTGGTGTCCATCTTAATTGTTGACAAATATCACGGCCAATATCCCTGTATTCACCTTTACCTGGAGGATGAAGAAATATTTAATTGCAGCAGTCTCAATGTAGTTTGATTAATAATGCAGGGGAGCTGGAGATATATATATATTAATTACAAAATTGCTGCATCTACTCTTTGTATCACACGCCTTGATTAAGTGGAATCAGCATTTCTGCAAATGATAATACTTGGAATTGCCACAGGCACAGCAAGGAGGAAACAGACCACAGATTCCTCTCAGCAGGGACAAACAGACAGAATGAAACTAGAATAGATTCTTCTCTTATGCATTAAAAATCAGAAGAATGGTGTAATGAAACCTTGAAGCCAGCATTTTCTGAACTGCAGTGGAGTCTCTAGTGACTGCTGTACTGCAAATAATAAACAACAATTTTATAAATATGCATTATATGTTCTTTATTGAGGCGCTTGGGATAGTCAGGCTAATTACATCTGCTTGCATTGCAGATTCTGCAAGGGGTGGGGTTTTTTTGGGGGTAAATGAAATCCTACATAAAGCCTGTAAAGAAACTTGCATGTATATTAGATTGTAAATCTTCTGTAGTTTGATCACTGCAATGTGTAATTAAAAATTAACGTTTAGGGGTTTAACATGATATAAGTGGTAAAGCTTAAAAAGTCTAAAACCAAGGCTGCAACTTACTAGGGAGTTTGCTCCCTTGACCTCAGAGGAATTTACTTCAGAGTAAGCATGTTTAGGATTGGCTGCATGCCTGGTAGTGTTTTGCATTTGGAATAATAAAGGAAGTTGACATTGCAAGGGAACACCAACTGCCTGTCTTCTAAAATTATTCTGTTGAGGTTTACTCATGTAGCAAGGTTTAGGGCAAAAGATGCTCTTTATGCCTTATTAGATCAAATATTTGGAGATAGATGATACATACAAGAGTACATCTCTTTGAAAATAGGACTTCAGGCTGAATCTAGCATACATCAGTAATAACATACCTTAGGAATATGCAAACATATGAGCTCCATTATGGAAGAAAGGTGAGAAGTAACTGTTAATAAATGAATGCTATTTGCATATATATACTTCAACAAACAAGACCTCTTTACTGCCAGTCCCATTTGGTCATATTTTTAGGACCCATTCTTTTATTGTGATTGCCATTTGTTTTAAACTATTTTTAATGTTGTATTTTAAATTGCTATAACCTGCCCTGGAAATCTTGGGTGAAGGGTAGGTTCATCCTCATAATAAATCCAACAGTAGATTTGATGCTGAAAGCACCATGTTTTCTAAACATGCCTTCCATTTTAATTATATTCTGATTTGAAAATGGTTTGTCAGTAGTTTTCACTGCATACATTCTGGCAAAGCATCCAGATAGTTCCACATGCTAAGAATCTTGGAGCTGTAAATACTATGCTACTTGTGAGGGCTGGTATAGTATAGTTTGTGACAATGTTGTTGTTATAATTGCAAATCTAGGTTTTGTAATGATACCTTGGTAATGTATTTCTGTGTTGCAGAATATGCAGATGATGTTTTGTGGAACTTGATTCAAACTGCTTATTGTATATTGGTTATTGCAACTGGTTATTCCTTGCACTTTTGTAGATTTTTGTTTCCACATTCTGGGTCATTCAGGAATACTAGTGGTGGTGTTACTGAGCTCATCCTTTGGGGTGTTTTGGGAGGATTTGCTTATGTTTAGGTCAGCCTCTTCAGTTTCTTAGGCCAACCCATTAGATCAGCCTGTTCTTTTCAATACAGTAGCATTCTTGCAATACCCAATCAGCATCATGGCAGGCAAAGGGGAGAGGGAAGCATGTTCTAATCAAGTATAAGAAGCTGTAGGAAGAGTTAATGATGGGGTATAATTCATGGGAAAGCCATTTGTGACCATTTAAAGTGGAGAAGTTTTCTTCTAATAACACCGGTACTGTTGTCTTGTACATATCCAAAAGAATCGTAGTCTAATTTCTGCCCCAGGTAAAGTGTTATTGAAGTGTTAGAATTAACATGTCTCGAAACAAACATGTAGATAGTGGTAATTCAATGCTATTTAACTTAATAGAAAAGCCATTGTATTCAGAATCTTGGCCTTCTTATCATCTTATAGTTGTTTTATATGTTCCTAACTTTGGCAATTCATGCACTTTTTAAAAGACAGCCTTTTTGCCCTTCATCTCATCCTTGACTCTGCTTGTTAACCACACTGTTCTCCTACATGGACTTTTTAAAAATGTTTCGTAATCTGTATTAAGCATTGTATCTGAGCTTCTTTTATAGCGGTTTTAAACATACCCTTCTGCCTCACTTTCAGCTTTCTTTTAAGGAAGCCCCTAAAGATGCACCATGTTAATGCTATTTAAGAAAAAAAATATTTTTTAAAAAATAAGAAAAATGTTACTTTTTCAAATTGATTTTTTACATTAATTCCTACACAATGGTTCATGGGAGCCTAAAGGACAGCAGAAGGTGTCTTGGTTGGATAACCAGCATGAGTAAAATCTGTCAGAAAATAAACAAAGGTTGAGATAATAGGTTCTGTTTTAAGAACAGAAACACATTTTAACAGAAATTGTTAAACTTGTGATATATGCTAGTTTATTTATCTTATCTAGGTAGCCAATTTAAAAATAAGCTGCAGCTTGCCGAAGGTTGTCTTTGAATGGCGTCACAGCTGTTAAGTCATGTATGCCTTATTGAAAAGTTGTTGCAGAAATTGTTTACTTTTTTTGCTTTACTCTTTATTCTTACTCGGTATTCTTTCAAAACATTTATATCAGTCAGGAATGGGATTTTTTCATGGATTTGAAACTGAACATTTCCTATCTATATTCAAAGTAAGAAATTTCACATAGATTTAAAGTCAATTTTTAAGACTGAAAATTGTTCCAAACACACACACACAGTTCCGATAACTGTTTCTACCCCCAGATCCTTTAATTTCACAAGAAACATACTAATGCTGTATGCTCCTGCAGTTCATGTTATGTGGTGACAGCTACAGTATTGTCGTTTAGACACTTGTTTAAAATGCAGGCTTTCCTGAGAGGTAATCCAACTGCATATAAACATAATATATATAAACGTAACAGCATATCTTACTGCCTTGGCAGGGCACAGAGTCGTCCTGTGAAAACTGATACAGCCATCTTTACATATTCCAGGTGATAAACTGCAGCTGTGTCATAAACAACATGTTTGGTATAGCACAATGTATAACACAGAGATAATTTACATTTGAGATTATTAAGACTAGTTTATGGATTTCTTGAGCATTTAATCTAATACAGCAGCTACTGTCATCAGCAAAGTGCATATACAGTCATACCTCGGAAGTCGAACGGAATCCGTTCCAGAAGTCTATTCAACTTCCAAAATGTTTGAAAACCAAGGCGCGGCTTCCGATTGGCTGCAGGAAGCTCTTGAAGTCAGTCGGAAGCCACAGAGGCCATGTCAGGTGTTCGGGTTCAATAGAACGTTTGCAGACCGGAACACTCACTTCTGGGTTTGCGACATTCGGGAGCCAAAACGTTCGACTCACAAGGTGCTTGGGATCCAAGGTACGACTGTGCTTCATGTGAAATAGGACCGCAGCTGATGTGTATTTCACATACACGATCTCAGCTTTAATGCTGTGCTGAAAAATAAATAAATAGAAAGAGGGTGGGATAGCCTTGCTTACCCGGGTTTTGGAGACTTTCACAAGAGCCTCCAGAGACCTCATGCAGCCCCCCTAGAGCCCAGCGAGCAAGGCAAAAAGCTTCAAAGCTCTTTCTTTGAATGATTTTCCCACAGCAGAAAGAGTGTTTTAAGCCTTCCACCTTGCTTTCTAGGCTTTGGGAAACTCTTGCAGGGCTGTTCAAGACCTTATGAGGTCTCACGGGAGCTTCCCAGAGCCCATGCATGACCCTTTCAGGGCTCAGAAAGCAAAGTGAAGGGCTTAAAAACACTTTCTGTGGCTGGAAAACCCTTTGCAGAAAGAGTTTCTAAGGCTTGCTTTCCAGGTTCTGGAAGCTCTCACGAGATCTCTTGGGGCCACCCGAGATCTCTGACAGCTCCGATCTCCTGCAGTCTCGGGTGGCAGAGGTGGTTCTGGCAGTCGTTCTGACTTTACATGATTTTCCTTTTATGCACAACCCCCAGGAACATAACCCCATCCCTACTGTGTACATTTCTTCATGTTTCCAAACTATCAGGACACTAAGCATCGGTCAAAGAAAAAAGAGGCTGTGTGTATAAATTGTGCAACATAATGTACATGTTAAATGTTCAGTGTGGTAAATATTAATAATTTACCAGACCTACAAAGTGTCAAAACAAATGGAAAATGACCAGATATAAACTCTTATTCATGGGCAGGGGGAAAAGTAGCCTGTCAATATGAAAATAGCTGCATCAGAGATAGATTAAGTGTCAAGAGCTATAAATAACAATGACAAATTACTTGCTGCTTGTAATAAGAAGTATATGACTGGTGTAAATTAAAAGACTCAGCTCTCTCCCCTTTATATAGAACAAACTTTTAAAAGCCTCTCTTACAAAGGTGCAGCCAAGACCCTTTGAGATCAGTTTTGTTTTCCAACCAGCTGTTGCCCATTTCCTTTGGAGGGGACTTCCTTGGCGCCACATAAAAGTGGTGAACCAGGGTTAGAGGGAAACGGGGGTGAAATAACAGCTTTTACTCCTAACTAAATGAAAAGTGCAAGGGCTATCCCTATGTGCATTTTCATAACATTATATTTACTGGATGGAAGCCACGAGGATACATTAGGGAGCTTTTATCAATTCAGCGGCAGCCTTCCATGAGTGTAGAAAAGAAAACTCCACATTTCTTTCTGATGACAGTGATATGTGATCAAAGGTGCAAATAGATACAAATCCACTCTTAAAATTGTTAGCTTTGACAGCAACTATTCCACTATAAATGGTAAGCATGGAGAGGTCCTGCGTCATACCTTAGCTTCTACAGAATATGAGCTGCTTATAGCACCACAAAAGAATGAACACTTGGCCTATTTCTTGACAGAAACTCTTTTCCAAAGTGCAGATAATGACCAGATTCAGAACGTGAGCTTCCTGCATGACTCTTGCCACCTCAACCTGTGAGTCTGTTCACATGGTGGTTTGGTCTCAAAGGCTACAGCCTCATTTATGCTGTAATATTTGTGAAGATGACAGTGTTTGGTATATGAAACAATAGAAACTATATGAAATACGATTGCTCTTCTAAGGTAGCAAGCAATAATGATTTGAATAATAATGGTGTTGATTGACAACACTTTGTTTTACGGAGGCTGCCTAAGAGACTGTAATTGAGATCAGGTGTTGTTTGTGGTACGTGTGTTTGTGTTGTTTGAACATAATAGATCGAAACACTGAGCCCGGTGTCTAAATTCAAAGGCCTCTGGGGAGTAATTCTCAAGATCAGCAAACTGGTTTCTATTACAAAAAACAAACAAAAGAAAGAGGCAGAGAAGATGGAATCTTTCGGAACAAAGATACAACAGTTTGAATAGACCTCTTCAGACAGTTAAAACACATATAAGAATTGTATGGAGGAAAGAGTGGGGACTGTGGCATTTATAGGGTTCCTAAGTGCTATACATACACACATATTTTGCACTCATATAGGGACTGTATACACAGTCTAGTGGACCTGAGTGAGTTGGGTGGGGTGGAAAGCTTCACTCCCATGCCTGCCCCATTGTGTTTCCACTATATGCATTTCAGTTTTTCGAAGAGGGCAATTGCCAGCCGTTGTCTAGAGTATCCTATCTGCCAGGGCTAATAATCAGAACCGTATAAATGATCTGCTGTATGCTAGTTGCTAACAAAATTCAGTCAATAGTAATACCTACCCAAGGAATATATTGGTATCCTTGACTGAGAGAAACTTTCAGCCCCATTAACTAACCCCCCCATGCCATATTTGCATTTGTTACCCATCCCTCCCTCCTCGCTTCCCCTCCCCAACTACATAAGAAGCTACAGTGAAAATTCATGGAAGCTTCAACAGCAGATGGAATTGTGACATGGGCTGCTGTTAATGAAAATAAAATGGAACCCTGGGATAGGGAAGGATAAAGTTGACTCAGTTCCTCCAATAGTGAACTCAGGTGGTGAGTGCCAAGTGCTTTGTAACCTAATCAGAGCTTCTGAGAAGCAGAACAGAGGTACTGGCATGTTTGAAGGAACTCCAAGTACTCCCCACCCCCAAAGCAAAGCTCTTCTCAAAAAAGAGTGATGTGGATTGGGCATGCTCAGTAACTACAGAGTGTTAGGTGCCAGTTGCGGGGTGACGACAACAAAAAATGAGTGAGGGGAATGGAACGGAATGGAATAGAACAGAATATCCTTGAGGCTGAGACCCTGAGCAGAAGCACTCCTGCTAAAAATGAGAAGATACACAGCAACATTTTGTTGCCGCTCTCATTTGCATAAGTAACATTGCCTGCTGTGAACTCTTATTTACTATTTATTTAAATATTTATAAACCACACTTTTCATTTAAAAAATACAGCAGCTCTGATAAAAGCTGTGGTAAAAGCTTCAAAGCACCAGTAAAAGCATTAATGAAAGCTGGTTGGTGGTGATGGGGAGATCATTTTTCAAAGGCCTGTCTGAATAGCTCAGTTTTCAGTAGATACCTGAAAACAGGCTGTGATGATTCCTGCTGAAGCCTGGGTCTCTAGTAAAGGCCGAGAGAACCCCAGGGGCCTGGGCAACCACCAGAAGTACCGCAGTGGAGGGTCTCGGTGAAGGGGGAGCATAAAAAGTCTAGTAGTCCTTAATGTACCTTGGACCTGAGTTTTTTAGTGCTTTGGATAGGGCAGGGTATACATGAAAACTGCTTGCTGGATTGTGTCCTGTGGGTACAATGCCACTGCTGTTAAACGCTCATCAAAAGTGAGTTGCCGCTGGCTGACTTCAGTTGGCTGTAGGTGTCTTGCAGTTGTGTAGTGGGCCTAATAAAAGTGCAGCCATTTTACTATCTTTCCATTTTATATTTACGCTGAGGAGAGGTTTGTATTTTTATTTTAGAAGATATCTGCTTAAAAGGGCCCAGGAGACCTGGAGAGACTTTGACAGGAGGAATCAGAAGTGTACAGTCCAGTGAAGAATTAAACTACTGGGAGTAATAATATGGGCTGATGCACTCAATATAGCAGTAATGCCTTCAGAGAAGAAGAGGAAATAATTCAGATCCTCTAGGCTACACTGAAGCTAAATACAGTATGACAAGAAATAGGAGCAGTGCTCATTATGTCTGATTGCTAATTACCCCTTTGAATGATTCAGTTATGCCTGCTACTAGATAATTAGTTTAGTAATTTATGGCTGCAGCACAAACTAGTACTTTAATTTTCACTGCACAATTTTCGCAACACCTACCATTCAGATAATATCGCCTCTCTTTTTATTATTCAGTTTTAAATTGCTTTTTTTTTTTTTTTTTGATAGCCTATATGAAAAACAGCCTTTTTGTGTGTCTCTCCTGGATTATCTGTCATGGCTTTTATGTGAAATCACGTTCTTTATGGAACTTAATTCAAGCGTAAACTCTACTAAAGGTACCAGTAGCTTTATGCTTTATCTTGTTTTTGTTTTGCTTTCTCAGTTGATGGCAACTTTTTATGCCCCTTGCTGTTCTTTTGCCTTTAAAATGACTGACACTGCGCTAAGCAACTGATACATGTAAATGTTTCAAAACTCAGTATAAAATAATGGATTAAAATATTTGGGGGCTTCTTGAACAATGTATCAGTATTTTTTGAAGTTCCATATTGGTTATGTGTGACTGAGTTGCATGACCACTTGGTAGAAAGGGTGGGTTTAATGTGTCAGTGGGATCAAGCAGGGGAATCTTAACTTGCCAGCCCCAGTGAGTCAGATAAATTAAAGCACCAAAAGAAGCTCAACTGGCTTTATATAATAAATGGATAGGGCAGGGATGTAAGCAGGTGGTGATTTCTGTGTTTGTCACAATCAGCACTGTTTCTGTTCTACTGCAGTCAGGCTTCCACTAAAGCCTATATTACTCATCTCACCATCCACTATCCTTGAAACTAAGACAATTAATTATACAATTAATTTATATGATTTTTAATGGAAGGGAAACATCAAGAACAATGCAGAAAATTATCTATATACTGTTTGTAGACTAAAAAACTTAGTGTACACTATTTGTATTTGTTTATGTGGTTTCTCTTCCAGACTTAGATGAACATCTGAATTGAAGCAATTTCTGCTCTCATTTCCAAGTGAATTCACTAGTTGAGGGATGTCTGTTTCCAGCCCATGGTGCTTTCACTTCCTGTTTTGTTTTTTGTTTTTTTTCCCATATTTTGTTTCTACATTGATCTTATTTTTTAAAAAACAAACAAACCCAGAACAAAGAGCCCACTAATATGCATTGGAATACTTCTTTGAATATTTCAAAATCCATATTAGGGCAACCAAAATGCCAGATGACATTGTGTAATCTTTCAAGTTCACCTGTACCCTTAATCAGGATATATTATAATAAAATATTAAGGCAAGGGGAGGGAGAGAAAAAATGGATGGTATTCAAGTCATCTGTGTTAGTATCTGGCAAGAGTCTTAAGAATGTAGTGTGGGAGAAGGCAGCAGACATTCAGATGAGACTCTGTGTGTGTGATGTCTCCCAAGGCATCCTGGGGAGGAGAAGCGGTAGATTCTCTATTTTCCACTTGTTCCCCACCTTCCAAGGAACTTGAATATTTCACATAAGAATGAAGACAGAACTGAGTAACAGCTGATTGTTGTATTTCTAGAAATTGAGAATCTACTATTTCTGAAGATGGAGCCTACATGAATTGAGTTTCCTTTGGACTAACACAGGACAATTTATGAAAAGTTGATGCATGAGTGGTTTCATTTTATAGTAGGAGATTGACTAAATGACCTTTTCATGTGTTTGGTTAGGTCTGATTTACAGCTTTCTTTATGCATTCAAAGGAATGCACGTGGGCACAAAAGGACGTGGGAGAAATTGCATTTGGATTAGGGGGAATTTTGTACACTCCTGCATTGATTTTCATTTCCTGTATATTATAGTTTACATAGATCAACTGCACCATACTTTGCTTTACAGCCTCTTAAGAGAAAAGGCACAGTGAATTGGTTTGCTCCATCTCATCTTAGGCTTCTTTGCAGTCTTCACCAACCTGGTGCCCTCCAGATGTTTTGGACTACAAATCCTATCAACTGATAGGATAGCTCAGAATATTTGAAGGGTACCAGGTTGGCAAAGGCTAACTGAGAGTTTTCATTTTGGTTGAGACCTTCTGTCATAATCTCTATGTTACAAGCTAAAGGTCACTCCCTGAGGTACATCAGTAGCTGGCAGGTTAAGAGCTTGAAAATATATACGATGACTAACATACAGGATTTAAAAAGTGTGCCGTGCAAGGATTCTTGATATAAGCCACAGAATGTTAAAGATGTTGGGGGCCTTGGAGTGGCTGCTGGTTGGCAGGAAGGTATCAGTTTGTGTACTTGCATTTGCAGTTTATCATATTAAAACAAAATCCAAGTAAGTATAGGCATGGGACTCCCACCACCACCACCATTCACAAAACATGCATTCTCTTTTATGTTTTGGATGATCTCCTGCAGAGCTTAGTATTTTAAATTTTATAATCAGAAGAAAGAAAAGGTCTGCACTAAACATTGGATTATGACAAGCCTCTTTGCAGAAGTAATTATGTAATTTTCTTGTTCAGGGACAGCAACCGAGATGCTTGGAATATCAAAGTGAGAATAAAAGCATTCTCAAAATCGGCGCATTAGTATTCCTAGCACATTAACGCAGTTGCTGACAAATCAGTTGGGACTAGCAGGCAAATATTTAGATTATCGAAATGAGTTTTTCCTTATGGGCAACAGTGCAGATTATGTTTGCAGGTACTATATTACTCTGAAAAAAATATTTGGCGTTATGAGTTTATCAGGCTTGCTGTATCCTTGCTGTTTTATTTTCACTGCAGTTCTGTAACTTAATGTGTGTGGATTTGTACTTTGTAGCAAGCTGCACTTTCCTCTTAGACTTGGATCAATGTTCTAAAGGGCAGCCCTGACATTGTTGCTGTTGTTTTCCTATGAACACCAGGGTTGTGTTTATTATGGAATGAAACTATGCCCTTTATAGCTAGCAGTCTTGCTTGAAATATTAAATGGGTCAGAGAACAAATAAATGCTCCCCTACAGGTTGGATGCAGTGACTCTTATGTTATGCGGTTTGCTTGTGCACATAAAGTGTTGCCTCACTCCCCCCCCCCATTTCACCATTACCTCCCCCCCCCCAAATATAAATGTATCCTCTGAGCATCATCTTGACCTTTCCAGTTTTATTCAGTATGATGGTCTGGGGATCTTTTACTTACTAACTGGACCATTTGCACACTGCAGGAGTAGAACTAGCCAGGTGTTCATTTTATGCTTTATTTTTTGTAATTGAGCTTTTCTACAAGTAATGAAAATACTGCAGTATAATTATCAAAAGCACAGGCGGTCTTTATATTTGGATAGCTTTTCAGCATGTACACCTATCTGCGGAACAAACAAGCAACAGTTGTACAAGGCATGCCCTTTCTGTACTGTACTTTGTAGCAAACTTAGCTGTTCTTTATTTGAAGAGAACTCAAAACACATAAATAACAGGACTGTATAAATCAAACAAAGAAAAATATGTTTTTCTGTAACAGGACAGTATAAATCAAACTTACAGAAAAATAAAAATTAGGAGACAGAGAGAAAGGGTTTTGTTTTTTGCCTAGAGATCACCAGGTTTGCAAGCACCTGTAGATTCATTCAAAACTAGTCCAGGCTATATAATTCAGGAATAGATCAAGTTGAATTCAGTTGGACCTACTTCTGAGCAAACCTGCATCAGATCAGGGTGGGTGGAATGAGAAATGCAGTGTTGACATTAAAGTAGCTTTAGTTTACTGCTTTAGTATATTGCTAATGCATCTTGCTAATGTATACTGCTAATGTATATATACTAATAGTGTTTGTAGTTGTAGTGTTGCCATTTAGAGTGTTGGGCTAGGACAAGGAAGACAAGGGTTCAAATCTACCCTTGGCTACAAACCTCACAGGATATATGTCGGCCAGTGACTATGTCTCAGCCTAACCTACCTCTCAGGGTCGTTTTGATGATATAATGGTGGGGTGAGGTGTGGGAAACCATTTTTGCTGCCTTAAGTTCATTGGAGAAAAGGTTGGGTGTAAATGTAGTAAAAACGTAGGAGGCAATCCTACCAGTTATGGAAGTGGAACAAGTCAGGCAATGGCTTCTACAAACTCTAGGAATGTAGAACTTTACACTTTTGTAAATGAATGGTTTAAAACGCAGTTGAAATCCAACAACATTTGGTGGACACCACATGACATCACTACTCTTGGCTTCCACTAAACATCCTACAGGATTTAGGTTGTACTGATGGGAAAAACAACAACTCTCTACTATGCAGAGATGTTTCAAAAATGGAAGATGGTAAAGAAAAGGAACAACTTATTCCTTCCCCACTGTCCAGGTGATATGGAATGTACTTACATCACAATGGAAGTCTAGAGCATGTTCATGATTCAGAAGCATAAGAACTCTCATTATCTTCCTGAGAGGCAATTTAAGGGGTTTGATTCTCCTCAGTCTTCTCTAGAGTTGGGAGAATGCACCTGCATATTAAAAATGCTACCTCTGTGAAAGGAATTTTGCTAGTTTTCTGTATCCAGGGATTGATTTTCACCCTGGAGAAGTAGTCAAGGATGTGATTGCCCACTGACATTCTGAAGTGGTTTAGTCATAGGAGACCTGAAATGCCTTTTCTTAACCTTTGTAGATTTCTTTGAGTAACCACACACAAAAAGATGGCCAAGCAGTGCATTTGCAAAACCATTTGAGAAATAGTGTTCTGCATCATCACTAGATGCTGCGGTGGTCTTGGTGGCCTGGCGTGCCTCTGGAGTGTGTGTGTCTTTTATGCCATCATCATAATGGCATGTGCTTGAGACCACATGATCAGTCACATTGCTAAATCTAAGCAAATTTGAATCTGCTGGAAGACTGCCTGAGAACCCTAGGTTCACCATAAAAGATGGCATTAAAATGGAATGAATGAATGAATGAATAAGCAAATACATAGATAAATGTCTCAAGGGTATCACTGTACCCAAAGCTTTACAGTATATTGACATAAAGATGCCTGGAATAGGACATTAAAATTAATTCACTGAAACTAACTAGGGGTGAAGGGAAACAACCAAAACATTTTTTAGTATATTTTCTAAGTCTGGACTATGGGTATTTTTCTTAAAATGATTTAAATAAAACGGTTAATATACAATTTCAGTTGTGAGCATAAAACAGAATACTTTACTGCCATGAATATTTCAAACTTCCTTTTGTTCTGTGTGCATTATTCTTCATTATATTACATTTTGAGATCTATCGGTGCAATATTCATGCAATTTACATCAGTGAATACACATTATTTATGATTTCAAATAAAAATTCCCCGTAAGTCAGTCTGTCAGCAGGCCAGTCTCTTGGAAGAATGAAAGGTGTAATGAAGAGAAGACTCTGCATTTATCTGTATTACATCTTTATTGCATACAATTTATAGGCTAAAATACGGTTTATCAGGCAAGTAGGCCAGTACACTGCATTATTGTATTAAGATGCTTGAGCTCAAAAAAAAACAAAAACAAGAAGGCATGCCCTAAATTGTAATTTTTAAATTTTAACTGAAAGCTATTTTGAGTAGAAATGCTGTTTCTTAATCGGAATGGCATTAAAATGAACATATAGCTCATATGAGAAAATGTTGTCGCTGGTGATGTATTTTTAAAATTCATTGATACTATTCTGGGATTGTATGAACACTTTTATTTGTAGCCATATTAGGGTACGTGCCCTTATTTGCTCATTAAAAGGAGGGAAGGAAAATAGTTATTCCTCTATTGGTCACCAGATGGACAAATGACTGAAGAGAATTGCCTTGTTGGTATGACTCAAGAGCTAGTCAACACATATTGGTGCACCGCTTGATTTCTGATTCCTGGATGCATCAACACTTGATATCCTTCAGGTGGGTGGGTGAGCATTCTCAGAAGCTGCCCTCCTGACATCAAGATCTCTACAGCTTACTGGGACAGCCTGGGGGTGGTAGAGGGGTGGTACCAAGGTCAAGGCTTTGCAACATAGCCATTCTGGCACCCACACAGCCCTCACCTTGGTGCCACACTGCCTTGCACCCACACCATCTCAGCAAACATCAGAAACACTGGTGTTGAGAGGGTGGCTCTGTATCTTTGCCTTCTTGCTTCACCCACTCCTGGACATTCTTCATTGAAAAATACAGTGCTTAGTGTTCACATCTGGTTATGTAAAAGTGTTAGCTCTAAGGCATAACTTGGCATTGCAAATGAATAATGAATACCAATGTACAACCTTATCTTCAGAATAAAACAATATTTTACAGTGCAATTCTGTATATGACTTCTCAGAAGTAAGTCCCCATTGGAGTGGGGTTTACATCCAGATAAATGGGTATAGGATATCCAAGTATAAACAGCTTCAAAATTCTTAGAACTTTGTTAAGAGTTTCATAAGGTCAGAGTTGCTGATGATTTGGATATCCCAGTCAATCAACAATCTGTTAAATTAGCAGAACTAAGAATAATTGGTGGGCACTCTTAACAGAAGCAATAACTGACCAATGTTTGGAGAGATGACATCAATGGCACCTGCGATCATAAACCTCTTAAACTGCATTTGGAGTAATACCAATATGTATCTTACTACAGTCAGGAAGACTTGGTAAAACTGGTTGGTTGGTTAAGTTGTATTTCTCCAAACAGCCTCCAAATGATAACTGATGCTGTGTCAGTTATTTGGTCTGAAACCCAGTTAATGCTATGAAAGTTTTTTTAGAGAAGAAAATTTTTAATGGGTGTGTGTGTGTTTGTGTGAACAACATGCATATTTACAGCTAAAAAGACGGAATTGCATATCCAGGAGACATAAGCACTCAAAATCTCAGAGAATGTTCTGCTATTTCCTTCAAAGGTCATATTAAAAGAGCAGTGACTTATTTGGTAAATGCATATGTATAGAGGTGTGCAGTCTTGCTTCTGTAGATGCAATTTATGTTATGTATATTTTACTGATGAAGCAGGCAGAGGAAGTGAAGTTTAATTTTTGCAAATATATTCCCAGAGCAAAGGTGCAGAGTGTTTTCTGATTTTTTTTTAAAGGCATGCTAATATGATTCAAATGAATTATTTATACAGAAAGTGTCTGAAAAAGGAAAGCACAGTTTGATTAGAAAGAGGTTTTTATAAAGCTGGACAGTGATTGCTGACTCCAAAGGAACTGAGAGAGAAAACATTCCAAATAATGAGTGAAAATTCACTAACATCAGTTGTGTGAGCTATCTACCAACCACTGCAGATAATTTTGAGCATATTCCTTAAGCATAAGTATACAAGTATTCAAATGATAAGTATAAAGAAGTGCTACCAATTATTGTACTTTTTCACTGTCTATCTATTAGGCTAAGATTTCTTGGGGGGGGGGGTGTTCCTATAAATTTTCCGAAGTTTGTTTTTGAGGGTTTCACTTTAATGAACTGTTAGAGAATGTAAATCCTCACTGGAAAATATTCAGTGAAATGGTCCCCCAACCTCTCTGCGTGTAAATAAATTGGCACAGCTGTGGTTGCTGCTTTAATTATTGTTTCATATTATTTTTAGCACTGTGGTAGGCTGAAGTAGACATGGTCCTTATTCCTTCTGGTCATCCTCTCTTTAGCCCATTGTTTCCCTTATCCACCAATGTGAACTAAGAACAGAGTTCCAATCAACATTAAATTAACTCATATTTTACCAGACTAGAGTGGAGCACATTCTCTGATGGCTGTAAGAGGATGACCATTTCCTACGCTCCTTACAAAATTCCCTTTCAGAAGGAACAATCGAGAAGATTGGGGGAAAGGAGTGTTTCTTCCCTCACCACTGATAACACTGGATGAAGGAGAGATTGCTTGTTGATGAGACATGGCTGCCTCTGAAATGGGCCCCTCAGTATTTGGCAACCTGTGATTGGTGGTGAGGGGAATTATCCTTTTAGCAAGAGAGGCCACATGACTGAGAACTGGCCTCCCCACAAGCACCAAAGAAAAAGAACTAGAAAGCTATTAATTATTTCAGCTGAAATAATTAATAGAAGTGGAAAACAAAAAGGGAGGTGTGAGGAGGTCGTGGAAATAAGGGAATGAAAGATAAGATATTGAAATTGTTCTGTGTTTGAAATGGTTTGTGTTTTGCTTTGTTAGTTTTATGTTATTCTTTTTCTTTTTCTTTTTTCTTTTTTTTCTTTTTTCTTTTTTTGTCTTTCTGCTTTGTTGTGTTTAAATGGTTGAAAATTAATAAATATTATTTTTAATGAAAAAGAACTAGAAAGCTGATAAGGTGCCTGGCTGAGTCAATTCTCCTGGTGCTGCTATAAACCATCTTTTTCAGTCGTCTTGAACTGTATTCAGTCCAGATAATATTTGGAGAATCCTCTTTCTTATTTTTCTGCCTGAAGATTGTATGGAGAATTTGCAGAACCCCACTTTCACACACCCTATGTGTGTGTTTTATCCAATTAGATACTGAGTGCTGCTA